CCCCCCCGGATGCGTCTCCCCCGTTGCCAGTTCACCGATGGCTACTCCGTCTCCTCTGTGGCGTCGAGCCTCCTCAACACGCTGGCCCGAGAGGACACCGAGGAGATCGACTTTGCCATCCGGTACCTGGACCTGGCCGTGGAGCGGGGCATCCTGAGTGCCCAGCTGACCGCCACGCAGCTGTACTCCGGTCTTGCGGACTACCCGTGTGTGGAGGGCCGCGACCGGGACCTGCCGCGGGCCGTGCGCACCGGCTGCATGGCCGCCGACAATGGCTGCCTCACGTCGATGTTCATCGTTTGTCACCACTTCTCCTTCGGCCTGCTGCGCGATGGGGGCATCTGTCTCGATGGCGAGGGTGCCGGCGAGGATGAGGATGACAGCACCCCGGCCGGGGCCGTTCGTCACCCGGCGGAGCAGGTCCTCCTCTTCCCGGACTGGTTTGCCGCCTCGCGCCTGTACCTGCATTACATCATGCTGTCGGAGGATGTGCCGGCCACTTCGCTGGCCCAGTACCTGCCGTCCATGATCAGCCGTCTGGGGTCCATGTACCTGGCTGGTGGCCATGGCCTGCTGCGGTCCATCCGCTCGGCTGTTCCCTTCCTGGAGATGGCCCACCGCATGGGTGATCTGGAGTCCACCGGGCGTCTGGCCTTCATCTATGCCTTCGCCGGGTATCCGTACATCCCCCGCGACCTGCAGCGTGCCCAGGTGTACTTCAGCATCATCCGCCGCTTCGATCCCTCTTTCCCGATGCCCTCGACTCAGGAGCTGAACGCCAAGTACCGCGACTACAAGAAGGCCATGGATGAGAAGATGGGCATTTCCCAGCCGGCGTCCTCCTCGAGCTCTGGCAAGAAGAAGTCCAAGCGCCCTGCCGGGACCAAGGATGGCAAGGATGCCACCAAGAAGGACGCCAAGGGCGAGGAGTCTTCCTTCCCGTGGATCATCCCCGCCTCGGTGGCCGCTGTGGCCGCTGTGTCGATGGTTGTCGCCGGCCTGCTGATGTCCCGCCGTTAAGGGGCCGTACACACACACACACACACACACACACACGCCCCCCCCCCCCCCCCCCCCCCCCCCCCCCCCCCCCCCCCCCCCCCCCCCCGGGAGCATGGTGCTGCGAACAAAGGGCCGCACAGGGACCCGAGATCAAGGGGAGTGTGGGGGACAGCGCGGAGCGGAAGACCGCACGCACCGGCGCACGTCCGCGGGCGTGCATCTTTCCCTCCCTCATCTGTCACGTCCTCCCTTCCCTCGCTCTCCGTTTCTCGTTCCCTTGCGAATGCTCCCTTTCCTTCGTGTCTCTCTGCTCTCTATCTCTCCCCCTCTCTCCCCCTTTTGCCTTTGTCGACCGGTGTGGCAGAGGAGGGGCCACCTTGGGAGGAGGGGCCTTTCCCAGGGACGGGCTGGCGTGTATCTCTCCTCTCGATTCCCCAGCCGCCGCCCGATCCCTCCTTTCTCTTCCGCCCCCTCCCCCGTGTCCCCTGTTTTTTTTCTTTTCCCCCCACGCGTGCGTACGCACTGGGGCGTGCCGCCGCCCACACCCAGCGCAGGGGGCCACGCACATGCATTCGTGCGCGCACGCACGCACGCACGCACGCACGCAAATATAGATTTCTTCGCAAACCAACCAGCACACGCCGCGATCCCCTCTCGGGGCATGTGGCAGGGGGCCCACAATGCACGGCGGCGACATCTTGTCTTCTTCCCCCCTCGCCGCTCTTTTGGATTGCCAGAGCCGCAGCACCCGCCCGGGGGTTGTGGCGCGGGTCACAAAGGGCTAACGAGGCCTCTCACGAGACTGCGCGTGATCTACGCGCCATGGACAATAATACCATTCCGCTGGATTTTCGGCCAACTCCGTTCGTACCCCGATCCCCAAATTCCCGGGGGGCCTGGCTGGTCGATGCTATTCGAGCTTCCGAGGGCCTCCGGCTGCGCCTGTTCCCGGGGGAGGGAAGGCCTGCCGGGTCCCGCGCCCCCCGCCCCCCGCCCACGCACATGTACGCCTTTTGGGCTCGGTCGTGTGGCGGTGGCGAACGCGCCCCACAGATCTCTCCCGCACGTCCCCGCCCCAGAGAGGTCGAGAGGGTGCGGACGAGGGAAGACGGGGTCCTGCGGGGCCGCCGCTGGCCGCCAGGAGAAGCCCCTGGTAGCAGGGCGCGCATGACCCCCGCGGCACCGATGGGTGGCGGCGCGGTTCTTTTCCCGAGGGCAAGGGCGATCTCCACGTTGCCCACCTTAGGCCCAAGACTTCCGTCGGGTGGAATTTATTCCTCCCGGCGACCGGGAGGGTTCGCCAACGGTCAGCCGGCTGGAGGGCGCGCGGGGGCGTCGGACCGACGAGGCCCGATTCCATTCGGGCCTTTACTCTGGCGGTGGCGGTGGCGGTGGTGGTGGGGCGCGAGGGGGCCGCGCGGATCGCCCCATATGCAGGGGCGGGGGGCCGCTTTTCTCCGGCCGCCAGTGGGTTCTGGCCACCTTCGGACTTGTCTGCTTCTCTGTGCCGCTGGTTGTCGGTCGGGCTTCTTCGGCCTGGCGGTCGAAGTGGGGCCCTGGTCCTGGAGTCTTGATGTGTGGCGGGCTTCCTTCTCGCTCTGGGCAGATGTATCCCATTTGATGAGCCGGGCACGCCCGCCGCACAGCTGCCAGGCGCGCGCGCCTGCACGCGATCGGCTGATCTCACCCTGTGCGGTTGTGGCCTTGCTTCGCTCCCCCCCCCCCCCCGGTTGACCAGGGTCCACCGGCAGCCGGGGGCGCATCCCCGCCGGCCGAGACTCGCGCGGAAAGAATAGCGCGACGCGGCCAGCTCTCCCCCTCCCCCGCTCGCCGCCTCCTTGGTCGCGGCCCTCTCCATCGGCTTGGGTGATGCGATCCGATTGCTTTTTTTTTGGGCGCTTTTTCAGCCATCAGCACCCGAATGGCTCATCTCCAGCCCATCAGCACCCCCTCCTATTGCTGCGCCTCTTTTGCCTTCCCTCATTCCTCCTCGCTCCTGCTGTGAAGCTGCGCGCCATGTCCTCCAAGACCACCGCCACCACCCGGTCTGCGGCCGCTGCCGGTAACAAGGGCTCCTCCTCCTCACGGATCGTGATCCCTCCCTCCCCGCCGCTGGTTTTCAACTCCAGCCCCAAGGCCCTGTACCACCGCTATCGCCTGCTGTTCTCCCTCAACATGCTTGAGGCCTGGGAGGAGGCTCTTTTCAGTGCGTCCCCGCTTCTCTTTTTCCTATCGCTCCTCCGCCCCCCACTCCCCTTCCCTCCCCTTCGCTCCAGGATGTATTTCTCTGCTAATATCGTCGTTCTGCTTCCTCTCTCTCTCTCTCTCTCTCCCCTCGCCCGTCCGTCCACCTCCAACACAGCCTCCATTCTTGTCCTGGTGATTTCCCTGTCGCTGTACCGCATCTTTACCCTCTTCTAAGAGAGGAATGTCACCGGGCAAGCCTCCCTCGTCTTCCCCCATATCCCACCTTGCAGGGTCCAGCCTCGATGCCGGCGCACGCATGGGCAGACTCACTCTCTCACAGACACACGCACACACACACACATGCGCATATGTGAGAGGCCACCCGTCGACATCTGCCAATGTCCTCCTGCCGCTTGGGAATGTGCCGGCCGGACGACTGGCTCCCCTCCTTCTTATTTTCCCCGCCAGGCGAGCAGGCCCTTGCCAAACTTCCCATCTTCCCCTCCACCGTCCTTGACCCTCTTCCTCCATCAACGTTGGGCAGTGGCCGCTGCTGATGCTCCTGGCCGGGCTGCCGATTTTCCCCGGTCAATATCCGCCCTCCGCCCTCCATCTTAGTGGCCCCTGCCGCCCCATCTCCCCTTCTCGTGCATTCATGCCCCTGTGTGCCGAGATCCGCCCCCTCCCCCGCCTCCATCGCACTCGCCTGTATAATACAAATGTCTCCACATCACGTGTACACACACATGCCCTCGCTCCATTTTTATGTTCATCATCTGGGACCGTCCTCCCTGCCCGATTGGCGAGGCCCACGAGGTATGGCCTTGCATCCTCTCCTCATTGCCCCCCCGCCCCCCCTGCCCCCCTGTCCTCCCCCGCTGCCTCTTCCTTCGTCCTTCCGGCCCCTCGTTCTTTCTCCCTCTCCCTCCCTCTCCCTCCCTCCCTCTCCCCCTCTCCCCCTCTTTCCCTCCTCCGGCAGACCCTCCCCATCCCCTCTCCCGCCATCATGTCTACCCTTAACTTCCGGATCAGCGCCGCTGCGCGATCGCAGGTCCCGAAGGCACTGCTGGACCGTCTGGCCGCTGCCGAGCAGGCGGCCAAGCGCACCACTCCCAAGCTTATTTTCGGGCTTTGGAATCACAATACGCACCTGCTGCAGCGACACAATGTCGGGGCGCTGGTGCTCGATCACATTGCCCGGGCCTCGGGGGTCCCCTTCAAGCGCCCGACCGCTCGAGCGAGCTTTGAAGTGGCCAAAATCCCCCCCGCTGGGGTGGCCATGGCGTTGGCGTCGGCCCGGAAGCTGTTGGAGATCGGCTCGCTTGGCACGCCCCAGCGACCGGGAGTCAACCTGGAGTCTGCTGCCTCGTCGTCCTCCTCAAGCATGGGTCGGTCGCAGTCCATCTTTTCACTGCCTACCGGCAGCATCAGTCCGGGGGAGGTGATTCTCGTGCGGAATGTCTCCTTCATGAACACCTGCGGGCCATCATTTCGCAATGCCAGTGCGTCATCGACTCATCCGCCCCCCCTTTGGGAGAGATCCTTTGCAGAGATCCTTCGGCCACTGACCGTCCGAATCCCTTCACCAACGCCTCCTCGTCTCGCTATCCATGGTCCTGGGCTCGTCGTGGCCCTCACCCGGCTGTCGTTCTGTGCCCCCCCCTTCCCTCCCTATCTATCTCTCTCTCTCTCTCCCTCTCTCCCTCTCTGACAGTGAAAATCTTCAATGTCTCCGACCGCGAGTGTGTCATCGTCCAGGATGATTTGGACATTGCCTTCTCCGTCCTTTCGGTGAAGCAAGGCAGTGCCCGGTGTGTCCCATGCTTGTTCTCTTCCTCTCTTGTTGCCCCCCCCCCCCCTCCTCGCCCCGTTCAATCTTCCCCTTTGTTGCCCTCCTCGCCTGGCATCCTCCTCGCCCTCGGGGCGCCACTGACTCCGGAATCGATGTGTCTCAGTGGTCACAATGGCATCCGGTCAATTGTCGAGGCCACCGGCATGAAGGACCTCCTCCGACTGGGTATTGGTATTGGGAGGCCGCCCGCTAATGCGCGTGTAGCGGACTTTGTCCTGCGTAACTTTACCCCTACCGAAGCGTCAACCCTCATGAAGCAGTCCATCCCACAGGCGACCATCACACTGCTCGAGGAGGGCTTCCTGTGGCACCAGGCCGCCGACGAAGAGCTGAAGGCCGCTCGAAAGGCGGTGTCTGAAGCCGTGGGGCGCATGCGCCGGGAGCGTCGCAAGAAGGCCACCGAGGCCGCCGAGGCCGCCGAGGCCGCCGCTGTTGCCTTGGCATCCACCGAGCAGATCGCCGCCTCCGGGGGGACGGTCCCAGAGGGCCAGGATCTGGCCGCCGAGCAAGAGTCCCCCAACCAACTGACTGGACAGATCACGCCCCCGTCGATTGCCGCCGGTGCATAGTCGACGTGACCATCATATACACGTGACCGATTGTGGCCTAGGGTCCCAGGCTGTCGTTCTGCCGGGGTTTCCGGCGTCCGCTTGCCGGTTGAAAAATGCATAGCTCGAAATGCCCGCATAGCGAGAGATCAAGAGAGAGAGCGAGGCAGGGAGAAACCTTGCGGGGAGGCCGGGCCATCCTTGGGTGTGGAGGGCGGGGGGCCGGCGGGACGTGGCCGGGTGACAGGATGGGCAATGGTCCGCATGCGGGCTGTTGCAGCCGGCTTGAGGGATGGGCATGGGCATGGGCGTGTGGCGATGGTTTTGGCGCCGGCCACTGTAGAGGGTGTCGTGGGAGCTGCGCGCGCCTAGGGGCCACCCACTCGGCCGGCTCCTAGGCCCCTGTCCGGCGGACCTCGGGGCCCCTACCTGCCCGACGACACTGGGGGCGGGCCGGCTGCGGGACTTATTGGTTGTCCACGTCTCGGCCCGGAGGGCCCGCCAGGCGCATTCCCTCGGGCTGCCTTTTTTCGAACCCCGAAATTGGGGGTCGTCAGTACCCGGCCCGGCTGTGGTGGTGACCGTGGTGATAGTTGGTTGGGAAGTGTGGGGATGTGGGGATGTGGGGATGTGGGTGTGGGCGTGGGTATGTGGGGCGGGGCGGGGCGGGGCGGGGTGGGGCGGGGCGGGGCGAGGAGGAGCGAGAGAAAGACGAGGTCCGGCAGCATGGGCCCCCCTTACCTCCTGGAGCGGCGCAACCATCGGGCGATGCCGCCGGTCCCCACTTCTTCGTTCCTTGGGGGCCGGCAGGAGGTCCCGACTTGTCGGCTCTCCCCAGCCGAGATGATCTGTCGTTATTCTCTTGGGCCGGGGTTGATCATGTCTGCCCGTGGCGCTGTCCCGATGCCTGGGAGGCATGTTGGAGACGCGGATGGGGGGGGGGGGGTCGAGGCAAGGGCGGGGTCTTTTCTTCCTCGCGGAGTGTCGGCCGCTGCTCGTCTGTTGGGATCCCGCCGCGAGGTGGTAGTTGTGGGCAAAGATATGTTGAAAGGCGGCGGCCAAGGGACTGCTGATGCTTCCGTGCGGGCGGGGGACTACATCCTTCTTTGATGTCTTTCGGTGTGGCGCTGAGGTGAATGCCTGTTGTGTGCGCCTTATTTCGTCGGGGGCCGATTCACCCGGACCGCCACGGGTACCGACCAGGATGACATCATGCGTTGCTGCGATGACCCCCGGTTGCACGGTGCGGCTGGTGGGCGGCTCAACCGCGGTGACCATATGTGAGAGTATGAGCCCGTCTCGGGAGGTAGGATGGCCGCCGGCAGAGGGCGGAGGAGCAAAGAGGCATGCCACATTTTTGAGGGAGGGAGTCCGCAGTGCGCAGCAGACCCACATACGGACACATGAGTGGATATGCACTTTGGGCCTGATGAGGCCCTAAAGCTTGGGCGGTCCTTGGGTCTAGTGCGACGGCTTGTACTTGGGAGCTCGGTCCACAGGGCCAAGCTTCCCCTCAAGGGTGTCACCTGCACGGGGCATCTTCCGTCAACTCACAGGGGGGCGGGGGGAGTTTCTCGTTCCTTCTCTTTTTCCTGGAAGCATATCAGCCGACGAACCAGTCTTCCGGGCAAGAGGGCCCGCCAAGAGGCGCTTAAGAATACCCGAGAGACAGGGAGGCCGGCAGCCGGCCGCAAACGACCCCGCACACTTTGCAGGCCCCGCCGACCTGCCGGGCCTGTCAAGACCTCTGTCCGAGTGATTGCCACAGGAAATGGTGGTGTGGGGTCGGGTGGCGGGCAAGAGAGGGGGCAGCCAGCCTTTCCGGCAGACCTTCGGCGCGTCGGGCCCGAACACCGAGCCACGTCGAGGTGTCACAGTGCGCTTAATCCCGCCCCAGTAGCCTGCGGGCTGGCGCAGGTGGGCTTCCGACCAGGAGGCCAAGAGGCCCGGTCGCCATCCTTCCCTGATCATATAGGTGCCGGTCGATGGGCTCTCGCGGGCTGCTCAACTTCGCCATCGGCGTCTAAAACATTGGTCCGTGCACTCCCCAAGGGACCAGCTCGACGAGACGCGCGGAAGGTGAAGCGATTGCCAAGCATCGCACAGGATGCCCGCCAAGTTGCATGGCCCAGTTGTCGGGCGCATGAAGAGAGCAGGCCGGTCGACCGGCTTCGGGAGGGGCGGTGCTCCCCCTGCTCGCGGCGCCGGGGTCTGTGTGGGCAGTGTTTGCCAAGGCCGGCCGCCCTGCTCCGGGCATCTTGTCCCCAACCCTGCCAGGGAGGTGCTTGAGGCGTGGACAGTCCCATGGGTCGAGGGTGCTGGTGGCTGGGCGGGGCGGGGGGGGGGGTCTCTCGCAGTGTGTCCGAAGACCGCCGGCGCGCGGGGAATCTGCGATGGGCGCTGTCTCAGGCAGAACGCGAGGGGGTTCTGCTGCTCGGCGGTAGAAAGGGCTTTCGGCGACCCTTACCATGCTCGGGGAGCCATCGGGAGTCCGGGCCAGCCAGACAGGCTGCCCTGTCAAGGGAAGCTGCCCGGGAGATTCAGCCTCGGGGGGAGGGGGGGGGGCGCTGACCTCGGCTCCAGGAAATGGGGCCACAGACGGGCAGGGGTCTTGTTGCGCGCCGGTCGCACAAACCGCAGCTCAGGTGGCATGAGACAGCCGCAGGGGTCGCGGCGCAGGCAGACCCCGCTGCATGGCCTCTCGAGGCACGAGAGATTGCGTTCCTGCCACCACAAGCCACACCGACCGCCATGGTTCCCCTGACCGATCGCGCCGACTGCATGTCTCGCGAGTGCGCCATGCGACTGGCACACAACATCTTCGAGGAGAGGAAGGCGAGACAGGGAGGGGGGGGGGGTGGGGGGGATTGTTCCCGGGCCCGCTGGCAGCGTCGGGCTCATCATATGCCATAATCTAAATAAAGGCTACATTTCTGCGGGGCCGCGAGGAGGAGGCAGCTCGCCAGCATGATCAGGGGGAACGGGGTGAGTAAGAGGGACCGCCTCGCTCGGCATTCCCACACACGCATCCACCGACCGAGGGCATCAGGTCGCTCGCCGGGGGGGCGGGGGGGGGGGGGGGGGGTCTCGAACCAAGGGCGCCCCATGGAGGTGATAGCCCACAATGCCTTCGGACCTCGCGGCCCAATCCTGGAATTATACCCCCCGATCGCTTGTCCCTCGGTCTTTCCTCCGCTCGTTGGCGCATGCCAAGGCCTGTGGGGGAGGACTCGATGTCCAGGCCATGTGAGTTGCCGTGTCTTCCTGGCCTCTGGCGGGTGTCGCCCCCCCCCCCCGCCTAAAGTTGACCTTGCTCCATCTTCCCCACACTCCTGGCAAGGGCGAGGGCTGGCCGTTTCCCCCGGGCGTATGGGCGGGGAGGATGGGCAGGAGGGACGAAGGGGTCTTGGCGGGCCCTATTAACCGCGGGGCGCGGGCGCGTCCCCCCGAAAGCACACAAACACACACACACACACACACCCTCTCTCTGGCAGCGAGCCAGCTATCGGCGTCACGCGCTTCGCCCGAGAAGGATCCCCACTGGGCGGGGGGTTCCCTTGCGTAAGGAACCCTTTCATCTCTGGGCAGAGATGAAAGGAGCGCGCGCGTGCTGGGGCACCTCTTGTCTCCGGGACCGCGAACGTCCGTCCACCATGTCGCCCGATATTTGCACACATGCGTCCACGCGCTGAGCCTGCCCCACCGTCCACCGGCCCACTCTTGCTCGCTCGCTCTCTCTCTCTCTCTCTCTCTCTCTCTCTCTCGCAGATACACACACACACTCACCCATTCGGCGGCACACACCTAACAATCTCGTAGGACTTGCCGGCAAACAGACACTCAGTGCTGTCTTGGTGTTTTTTGGCCTTACCACACCCGGGGAGAGTTTCCCCCCAATGCAGCGCCTGGACCAAGAGCACGACCATTTGACCCCGAGGCGGTGTGTAAGAGACCAGAGCAGCTGCCCGACCGTTGGGGCAGTGGAAAATAGCCCACGGGGCTCACCAGCATGCTCATGTATGTCTCTGCCCCTTCTGGCCCCCCCTCCCCGGGGGGGGGGGGGGGGGGCGCGGGGAGCGAAGGAAGGGGGCCCGTCCTCGGCGGCCCGACGTTCGAATGCCCGTGCCGCCACCCCCTTCCGCCCCCTCCGCACACGCATACACACACACACGCACAAACGCACGCACGCACAGATGCTGGCAAGGTGCACGGGAGCTACTGTGCCCCGTCCGCCATGTCCGCCTCGCCCAACTGCTCGCCTGGACTTGTTGCGAGCAGACCCGTCTGCCACAGGGAAGCTTTTCGGAAGGCCGGGGTGAGGGCTCGGCTGGGCGCGTGCTCCGTGCTTGGGGAGATTCTCGTCCCACCGAAGTGTTTGAGCACCGAGATGGGACTGTTTTCGGCGCGGCCAGACCGACCACGCCTGGTGCATGTTTACCCCGCTCCTCGGTCCATGTGCCCCTCGCTCGGGCGGAAAATGACCCGGGCGTCCCCCGGACCCCGGTCGAGCGGGAGTGCGAGGCTCCCCGTGCGGCAAAATGGTCCCGGCATGGCCACCACAGGGGACCCGGAGCCTCCGCCGAACCCGCCTTTCCCCCCCCTCGGGGGAAGGGCCCATCCAGCCGCGTAGGACTCCACTAGCCCTCCACCCGGGGCGGGGGGGGGGGGAGAGAGAGAGAGCCGAGGCCGAGGTCGGGGGTTAAGAAGCCACCAGCCACCACGGGGGACTCCATCTTGCGTCCAATGTGTGTATGTGTGGTACTACGCGCGGTGAATGCACCCACCGGCGGACACACCACCGGGCGCACGCACGGGGTCCCCGCGCCCGGCGGTCGTGATGGGATGCAGCCCGTAGGGCAAGGCTAGGGGGACCCGTGGTACCCCCCACGGCTCGCGAAGCGGGGATTCTGCCACGCGTGGCGCAGAACCACCTTCCGGATAATGCGGTAAGTACGGTACATCCCTGCCTCCGCGTCTGTCCAATCTTGACCTGGCGGCCAGTGGACCGGTAGCGGTCGCGCCAGCGAGCCCATCTCGCGGCCCAAACATGACCCCGACTTAATATCGCGTCGTCGGTTCTTGTGGTTTACTTTTCGGCCCAGGCACTTGGCTCTTGCTCGGTCTCTCCTTGTGGCCCCTGGTGAACTGGTCGTCTGCCATGTCGGCGTGCGCGCCGAGTGGTTAAATCCCCCCTGGTCACGAAGTTCCCCGGTCCCGCGCGCGAGGGACAGGGAAGTGCTGGACCGGGGAGGCGCGGCGGAGATGTCGCGGTGCCGAGCCAGAGCGTGAACTGGTCGTCTACCTCGCCCCTCCCCCCCACCCCCGGCCTGGCGCCACCTCCCCTCCCGGAAGGGGGATGCGAACTGCGAGCTCGTGCTACATTCTGGCCGGCCGTCGGAGTGGTCGTGCGCATGGATGCCGCCCCCCCCCCCCCCCCCCCCCCCCCCCCCCGGGCCCGCTACCCCCGCACGAAGTTGGTGTGGGGTTAAAACACAAACAAGACTCTCATGATGCGCACGCCGGTCCTATCGACACGGCACCTCACACACTGCCAATGCGCCACTGCCCAGGCCCCTTCGCGAGAGAGAGAGAGAGAGAGAGAGAGAAAGTGCAATCGAGTATTGTCCTGTGCCAGTGTGAGATATGATGCGCTAATGAGAGGCTCCCCAGTCGGGCTCGTCCTCGGGGAGCAGCAGGGGGAGGAGGGGCGGGGGGGGGGGGCCGTGTTCGTGATGAGAGAACACCAATGGCCGGCTCCGGGGGGCTGGGAAGGGACAGGGGGCCGCGCTCGGGCAGGGCACCCACGCCCCCCGGACCGATCCCATCCCGCAAGCCCCAGCGGCGAAGACGGACAGCGGCCACAAGGGCGTCCTCCCCGGGGGAAAGGCCGGTAGCCCTTTTTTTTCCCCGGCCGGTGCCAGCTGGCGGCTGCTCGGCCGGCCGACACGATCGACCCTCCCCCGGGCGATCGCCCAGGGCCATGGGACATCCGGAGCCATGACCCGGGCATTTGCCCGCTTTGCGGTTCATCTACTGGGCCTGGCCGTGCGCCCACCCCTCGCCACCGAGTGTGGACACAGGCGCGGCGCCGCTCCCATCGCCGCCCTTGGCAAGGGCGCTCGACACGCGGACAGTGGCGCCCCGTGGTCAGGCCCGTTTTCGCCCCGGCCGCGGCTCTGGCCAAGAAAAACGCCGGGTTTTCCGCCCCGGCGTGTTCCGTACACCCACCTACCGACCCGGATCGCCTCGCCCTCCCCCTGCTCTTTACCGGGCCTCACGCCGTCCCCCCCCCCCCGTAAGGCGAGCGCTGCGGCGGTCGGCAGCCGGATCGGGGGCCAGGGCGTGTGAGCTGTCCGGGCCCGGCTCCGGTCCTCGCCCCTCGCCCCCACGCTGGTCAACTCGGCCACCCTCCCTATTAGCGGAGGGGGCAGTGGCCCGCATTGCGTGCCCCGGCCCTTGTCGACCGTGATGAGACACCCACAGCGGTGGGATCCCAGACCTGAGCGGATCAAGAATGCGTCCCCGCGTCCCGACCCGTGCCCCCGGCGCGGGCCCATATAGCGAGAGGTGTGCACCTTTGTATACCAGGGGCATGGGGAAGGGCAGTGTTGGCGTGGACAAGGCCCGGGGGCGGGGGCGGGGGCCGGGGGCCCGGGACCGGGGACC